ATCGCCAAAAGTGGCCTCTTCCAAGTAATCTTTGAATAGAGAGGAGTAATTTTTTTTTAATGTTTTTTACACACTTTTATTTTTTTATACTTGTACAAAGGTGTACAAGTATATTACAAATATAAGCTTATTTGTTTATACTTGTACACCTTTGTACAAGTATAAACAAATAAGCTTTTAATTATTAGAATGAGTTAACATAGTTTATATAATTACACAGCAAACAAGATAAAATTTAATATGACTTAATGTTGGTTGAAATAATAGAGAATAGAAGAGGCAAAATGCTGGGCCATCTTATACGACATGACGATTTTTTTAAAGAGCATAGTAGAAGGAAAGATAGAGGGCAAAAGAGGAAGTGGAAGACCGAGGAATAACTACATGGGACAGATAAAGGAAACACTAGGTGTCATGTCGTATAGGGAGGTCAAGGATATGGCCTGGGATAGAGCTGGCTGCAAGAAGATGCATGAATTAGTTGCACTGACAAGAGGAAACTTAAATGAAAAGAAAGTTGCGTATTAAGGATATTTATTTATAAACATATCCAAGTAGCAAATAAGACAAGAGTATAATTGAAATGAAATTTTAATTTTATATATATTTTGATAATTTAGTAGTAGTTTGATTGGGCCCCTCTGACTTATTTGTGTTTCTATCGTAATTCAGTTATGTTTGCATGGCTGTGTTTCGGTTTGAAGGGTGGGATATGGCAGTGAATTTACAGGGTACAGAGGAATAACATCAGAGTCCTCAGGAATGGCAACACAAGGGGGGTATCATGGGCGAAACAGTATACTCTGTTGTGTCCATGGTACTGCTCACGTCTATAGGCGACGGTTATCACTTTCTATCAGGTGAGCCGTCAGCTTGTTTGCCATTCTAAGTTGTATAAAGAAAAAAAACTTAAGGAACGGTCCTGAGCCACCTGCACCCACTGACTCCCTGCAATGCATTTGAGGTTGTCACTCCATCTAGTGGGGGGTCGTCCTACATTGCGTTTATCCGTACGGGGTCGCCACTCAAGAACCTTTCTTCTCCATTGATTATCGGTTCTTCTATGTGACCAATCCATTGTCACTTCAGCTTTCTTATCCTTAATTAAAATATTAGTAAGGATTAATTAAATTAAAAAAAAAATGGAAGCAACTTTTTTTTATACTATATAAAAATATCGACGGAACCCTAAGAAGCCTATATATATATATAATATATGTATTTTGTATTATTCTTTAAGTGGTGCAATAAAGGGTAAATAAATAAATAACAGTATCTGCCATAAAAAAACTATATTTATCTAAATATATGTATATACCTAACTTCAATTAGGTAGGATTCTATATTTTATACAATTTATGTCTAATTCAATGAAAACTGTAGGTACTGCTTTCATATTAAGATCACAAATATGATAGTGAGTTTGTTTGTCACTTCCTAGCCCCTAAATTTCTTTTAGAGTGTGTTTCTATGATAATTTCAACAAAACTTGCATACGTTCTCGTTAACTTCTATTATAACAGATTATCCAAAATTCCCGTGACACGATATCCGTTCACGTTCTAATCTTCGAAACGGCTTAACCGATTGTAATGATTTTTTATAAATGTGTAATGTTCTCTTTAACTTAAGAGATAGGATATTTTATACTTCGATAAAAAAATATTAGGTGGGTGGCGTTTGGTGATCAATCAAGGTTTTTTGAATGAGTTAGTTCTATATTTATATGATTGCTATATATTAAAGTTTTACCAGAGGGAGACTTTGTACAAAAGTCGATTGCTTGGGTACCTCTGTCCCATTCGTGTTTCAACCGTGAAGCAGTTGTGTTTGCATGGCTGTGTTTCGGTTTGAAGGGTGGGATATGGCGTGAATTTACAGGGTACAGAGGAATAACACATGAGTCCTCAGGAATGGAAACGCATTGGTGGTATCATGGGCGAAACAGTATACTCTGTTATGTCCATGTGGTACTGCTCATGTCTATAGGCGATGGTTACCACTTTCCATCAGGTGGGCCGTCAGTTTGTTTGCCATTCTAAGTTGTAAAAAAAAAGGTCTATGTTCTTTGGAAGAAATATACTTAAAATAGAGAGAAATATACACAGCAGTGAACAATGTAACGTAATGATGAAGGTAGGATTATCTATCTGCTGTCTAAGGTTCCATACCTTAGTGTCTGCATAATCTTCAACTTATTGGAAACATTTACACTTTGTTACTTCATAAACAATGACCAAGTCAAGTATCCTATTCATATATACAGAATAGGATAGCATAAAACAATAAGATTTCAAGGTACAGTAGGTTAGACGAAAGCCTACAGTAACGTTAGCCTATAAGTTTCAGTCCTCAATTCGACGCACCTAAATTCTACGGCGATTGGCAGCAATGGATCATTTTTTTAGCACACATATTGATGCTGTCGATTATTTTTAAATATAAATCCGTTTTTCTGCAAGTGTACGTATTACAGATAATTTCTTACATTACCTATGTTAAGGCAGTATCTGTAATATGTCTTTGCTATAATGTAGAAATAAAAAAATATTGTCTTGTCAAATATGGCGTAAAAAATATACGGAAAATTATATCGGAAAGTCGGCATTTTTAATTTTATGTCAACCTCGAAACTACATAGGTTAGTAGCTATGTATTTTTATATATTTCATACAGTTATGAAATACTATTCTGTAATTTATTTATACCACATAGGCCTAGCTGTAGTTTTTAATATTACAGCTAGGCCTATATAGTAGGTTCGTGTGTAAAATTGAGAATATGTTTTCACTATTATATATGTGTATTATATAGGTAGGTAAATTAAGGTTTAGCGGTTTAAAACCACAAACAGAGATATAAGAGGCCCTGATTATTGGGTACGTTGGATACATTATACCATGTGCATACTTAACTACAGGTATCCTTTCACCATTAATTAAGTATACCAAAATTCTATGGCTATTGACAGCACTGGTTTACTTTTTAGGCTCATTTTATTGATATCTATTTTTTTTAGTACAGATATATTTTCGTATAAGTATAGATAGGTAATATAATGTATAATATTTTGAACTTATTTATTTTGTAAAAGATTATGTGTAAACTTGAATCATATGTGTAATTATGCAACAAGAGAATTTGATTTGGTTTTTTTTTTTATTTAATGGGTGTTAATGGAATGGTATCCCCACTCGCGCTATCGGTATACACCGGCGGGGCACCAGTGAGGGATGATAGGTGAGGATGAAGCAGGCCAGTTAGCCCATCGTGACGAATTCAACAAGAATTGTTTACGATGGTTTCCAGGGGGAATCACGTGGAGGTCGACCTAATAAGGTATATTGCTAGCAATGGGGCTGGCAAACTCCGTTGCTAACAATCCTTTCCCCCCAATTTGATTTGGTTGTAGTTACGTGTTTATTTGAGATACATATTGGTAAGTACGTCATATGTATTTGCTTGGTCATTACATAAATAGTGACTGGATTATGTATTGCATAGGTTTAATTAACTACATAGTTTGGTGGTTTAAAAATACAGTCAGAGGTTTTACATTTCCAGTCTAACGACTACAGCAACCATTCAGTAAAATTATATAAGTTCGTATTCTGTATTTAGCATATTTAAATTCTACTGTTATTGCTTACAGTGGCTTATTTTTTGGATTAATTTCAAAGGCGTTGATTTTTTAACGTCGTCATTATATGATCGGTATGTACATATATCTAATAAGTATATTATATGAAATAACGCTATATGTCTTTGTATATCTTAAAAGGTAAGCCAATAGGTATAGGTTAAAGATGTGTATAGTTAAAAAATTGATTTATTTATGGTTATATACCTATTAAACATGTTGATAGGTATTTGGCTATAACCAGGATACGATCCAACTGTAACCTATACTCCAAACGAAAATTGTATTTAGCATTGTGTATTTTTTTTCCTTTATGTTATCTCGCTTTTTTTTCTATATGTATGTTGTAATTTGTGTGCTGTAAGTAAGTAATGCAAATAAATTATCTATCTATCTATCTATATGTTGCAAACGTAGGCAAGTCTAATCGGAAGTGTTAATAGGACCGCTTGTGTCGACAAGTAGCTGCTACAGTCGTAAGTACAGTAAATATTCAATATTCCTAGCTAAGTTTCCATTCTCAATTAAGTCGACCAAAATTCAACCGCTATTGTCAGAAGTGATACGCTTTTTTGTCTACTTTCGGTGATATCTTTTTTTAATACTAAATTCATTTCTTTTTAATCAATATTTGGGAAATGTTAAGGCCTCTCTACTATTAAAGATATGTAGCTATTAATGAATATTAGCACCTACCTATTTATGTTTTTAAATTAATTATCTAAGTTTCTGTTTGTAGTTTCCTACCTAAATTAATTTTTCGCTTTAAAGTGAGCTGTGTACCTATAATTCCGTATTGGAGTGTAGTGCCGAGATTGGATCTAAATTATGAATGGTTGCGGTCACTCTCTAACTCGGAAAGTTTTCACATCAAGCACTTTTGTGTACCGAGAGCTAAAGGGGCACGGCGCATGCGTACCACACGCCCAGACGAACACTTGTTTTACTATTAGCAAATTACTGTGACCCTATACGAGTTGTTTTCTCAAGATTCGCAGTGTTTGTACATAACTTGAAATTATAAGATAAAAAAAAAACATCCAGTCATATCATTGGAGCGGCACACACGTGAGCGTGAGACGCCTAACTCGCGACGTTCCGTACGAGAGGAACTGTGCAATTTTGATTAGCTACAGTGCAGAAAATCCGAGCAGAGGAAAACTCTCATGTAATTGTCGCAAAAACCGTTGAAAAAACGCGCACGACCGTGTACGGCGAGCGCGCGCGCGGTGTGGCGGGCGGGCGACGCGGGTGTGCGGCACACACGCGCACCGCGGCGCGGCGTCCGTGCGCGAGCGGGCCGCGCGCGCGATTGGCCGCCGCCGCGCTGGGCGGGCCGCCACGCCCCGCCGACGGCCCTGCTCGCTCGGCCCGCGCCAGTGTCCGCCAGACTGCCGAGCGCGTCGGGCCTCCCGCTTCCCCGCGCCTCGCTCGGCCACGCCGCGTCCCGTGATCGAACCTTACAAAACCTTAAGTTTACAACCGTCGCGAGTGCATTATGACACTAGTGAGCTAGCGGGCCGCTGTGACGGTGTCAAATAATTTATGTGTATGTGTTCACGTGCTTGTGTGTTGTGTTAGGTTGGGCCCGTGACGAAAAACGTTCGTGGTGGCCAGCGGAGCCTTGCACCCGGGCTCGGGCCGAGCTTTCATGGCTCAGCCTAGGGTACGTACCCTGTTTGACACTATCCACACTGCAAACACAACACAACACAGTTACACTGTCGACAGTAGTAGGCGCGGCCGGAGCGATTTGTTGATACCGATATCAATGGATTTGACAATATACTCACTTACGTAAAACTAGAAGGCCCGTGATATAATTTTGTCAATACAATAAAACGTTATCTCGCCGATGAGATAGGCAGATCTAGATACAGCTGTTCACAGAAAAAAAAACTAAAGTCGTACTCATAAATGTTTACAAGGCAAAGGCGCTGTCGCTACACAGCCATAGCATGACTAAATCAAAATTGAGACATGTTAAGTAACAGGTAGGACATTTGAGACGATACATTAAGCATGCTCCGGCACCGGGGAGTTGTTTTAACAAGTCAAACGCGTTCAGAATATATAATCGAATGGTAAAACGCGTCGAATCATCACACCGGAGCATCGCCCGTGATAGTGAAAACGAAGTGGAATACATTACATAGTGATAGGGTTAGGGCGTTATAAACGCTCATTAGTACAAATCTAGATAAATCAGCGAAAACTAACGTAAGTGGCCGCTGTCCAGTGTAATAGATGCGTGAACTAGACCCATTGTCTAACGCGGCAGACGCGGCTATGGCTGTGCGAATACATTACGTCGGATTACTGAATAAATGAATTCTTATACATACATTGGCCACCTGACGGAACCGTATGTTGGAACGTACCATATAAATGGGATAATACAGACTACAGCGGGGCGCCCATTGTCGAATGCTCTCTTAGGGTCCCATAGGAATTGCTTGCAACAAGCAGCTTTTAAACGCACTGTTGGATACAAAAGAGTCTCAGGAACTCACAATAAAATTCAATTGACAATAAAACTTTTTTTTTTTACTAGGCGGTAAACATGGCCTAACGGAACAGTGACATTATTCTATAGGATAGATACGTACCTATTCAGTTGTTATTGTTTAAATTCCAGAAAATAGAAAATACCTATTTAATCCTTTTCTGTTAATTTTGTAAACAAATTTAACGTTCTTGTTGTTCTTAGAAGATGGCTGTCATTATTCAAATTTGACAGCTGTGCAATTAACTAGTGATCATGTAACGTAAAAAATCCCAACACGCCTGTGTGTATGGACTTTTAATTTTTTTATATAAATAAAAAAAAAAAAGTGACGTGCAAATTTATCTATGACAACGATAAAATCGTGTGCAAGATAAAATGGATTGTGGATGCGATAATTAAGGCGCATAATCGCAATTATGTATTAACGAAATAATGAGAGATCGCATTATTATAAAAGCAACATGCCAAGTAGATATATCGGTAATGTGTTAATAGATATATATCGTAATATCAAAGTATATAATTATAAGATTAAATCGCATAATATACGTATTGTTTATGTACATCATTATGCCCCCACACGATATGTTGCCGACGGTAACCCGTGCGTTTACACTTAACTTATACCTAAAGTTCCATTTTTAATTCGACAATTCCGTATTTCACAATATAATTTTATAAAATAAGATCGCTATACTCATTCTAATAGTTTTTTGTACCAGTTCCCTACAGTGTGACGTCTAGTTCATACATGACACGGTTCGGTTAATGTCCGAGATTTTTTAGTACTACAAAATATATTGTTTTCTTATGTAACCGTTTCTTATTCGATCATTTACTGGTATTCAGATCCATTGCTGTAAAATATTATTATTCGTGTTTCAAAAACGATAAATGGTTAATTCGTAATAAGAGTTTATAGTCATTTTTATATTTTTAATGAACAAAATTATATAAACAATTATTTTTTTCACAAATAGCTTTGTTTATGCATTTATTTTACTGTTATTAGTGGTTTTAAACTAAGATTACTGATTTAGTGTTTTGTTAATGTTAATTAACAAGTTCGTCATTACTTTCGCATCACATAGAAAACTGATAATCCGAAAAATATAATTTTATTGTATAAAATTAAAAGTGGAACTTTAGGTGTAAAAAGGCGTGTAGGTAGTTACTTTTAATTCGTTACTTTTAATTCTACTAAATACTAAATAGATAAGATGTAAATGTTAAAGTTCATGAGACATATATGGCAAAACAAATTTGAATAAAATTTTGCACAGAGACAGATAATAAAAAAAAAAAACTTATAATAGCGCATACTAGATCAAAAATAGGATTTGGTGATTAGAGTTTTTAATACCTACTAGCAACATATTATACTAAACGACGTGCATCTATCTAGTTATCTGTAGATACCTATCTTTATCTATAATTATATTAAGAAATACGTGATAAATAAATCATTTATTGAAGAGAAACTACTTACTAAAGTTTATTTTTATTAATTTATATACGAGAATATATATTTTATATTTATTATACTATATTAAATACAGAGTAGGTAGGTGTAAGTGTAACAGAGTGTAGTGTGCTTATCAAATAAATATAAGTAATTTAAGATTTTACCCTTTTTTTATTTTTTTATTCTACTGAGGTGGCAAACAAGCATGCGGCCCACCTGATGGTAAGCGGTTGTTGTAGCCTATGATACCCTTATTAATTATTTATACATTAAATGTCATTAATAAAAATTATATAAATATGAATATTTCTATAAAAAAAAATATTAATATCATATTTACTTGCAAAAAAAAAAACAGCATTTTACATTTTGAGTAAATTTAAATGAGATAAATACGAGAATAAATTCTATCGTACGTTAAAAGAATTTATTTATTTATTTTATAATTAATTGCACACAAAGATTACATTGATATAAATTATTTTGAACAAAGACGATCAACAGGCAAGGTTAACTCTGTAAGAGTTCTTTTCCAGCAAACTCTTGAGTTCAAAGTTAAAGATAACTCTTTTAATAACTTAAAATTAGTTCATAATAAGTGATAATATCGCGTAACTTAAAAAAAATAGGTACCTAAATAGACGAATTAAGAATCCTTAATTGGTAGTTGCTTAAAATGATTTGTTTCGACTAAACTGTGAAACGGACTTTAACTAACTTTATATGAAAGTGTATAAATTTAGTACTCATCCTAATTAACGTACGTTAAGAAACGATACTCCGAAATTCCGACGGTAACAAAGTATAAAATATACCTTTACCACTCATTCCCGTCGCGTGAGCGAATCCGCAATAAACAACTAGTCTAGTATTGTTATAAGCAGTTAAATGATTGCATAACCTGTTTTTTTTTGTAATTTTATTATTACAAAAAATATATTTAATTTTTAAACTTATATAAGTTGGTAGACACCTACTACATACTTTAAAGAGGAAACATTTGATTGTTTTTTAATGGATAAACTAAAACACTGCACTTTCACGAAAGTTACTTTATTAACGTTTAATTTTTAACGGCTTTATATTATTTTCGAAATTATTTTTGAAACGTTGGTATAAAATAAAAAAAAATATTAGACGAATAGAGTTTAGAAATGGAAATATAATTATAAAACTTGGTTTAAAAGCTTTAAAACTCGTCAGTGGTGTCAGATATATACTGTAATAGCATATTTTTGTTTATTTAACTCTATTACAACAGAAATAAAAAAAAAAAACCAATGACAATTAGAAAATTCAAGTAAAAAACAGTAGCATGAAGTACAGATTAAAAATGTATACGTAAAGATACAAAAGGCGGTCTTATCGCTAGGGCAATCTCTTACAATCTTTGGTTAAAGGAGAACAAATAGAAGTGGGTAGGTGGCGCAGGAGTGACTTAATAATTTTTACATACATAATAGCATAATTTGTAATAAATGAATATGCACCAAAATAAATATTTAATTTATTACGTTACCGCTTAAATGTATTTCGACGGTAAAATACAGTCAAAAGTGTTTAACTACCTATTTCGATCGGTTAATTCATATATAATGTACGTATATGTATATAAGAAAATTTATTGAATAATTTACTTATAATATATATTTTATACTATTTTTATTAATAATAGTAATTTTCTTTGTTAATACTACGTAACTATCATTTTATTAGTTCTGAACTGTATTGTATAATTAAGTTATAATGCTTAAAATAATAAATACCTACTTGGAATAATGAAAACTTGGCTACACTAGCCTTCTGCCAAAATATAAAAAAAAAAAAAATATTAAAAAAAGTAAGAAAATAATCATATCTTCGTACTTGCTTATGTTTAATTGTAAATAAAAATGAATTAATTATATTTTTCATAATAATCCATACAACAAACAACAAATAGGTAGGTATAGCTGTAAAATTAACATAAATTTTAATAAATTGTTTTTGTTATCAAGTGAACCGAGTATTTGGAAGTTGTACATAAATAAAATGTAGGAACATTTACTTATGACATGTGTATAAATATATTTAGATGTAGCTAAACTCAACTTACGTAAATGGCTTTATGTAATTTAAATTTACTTAATGAGATACTTACCTACATTTCGCTTTTATTTTACGTACAGTTACAATTTTTTTTTATATAAGTTTTGCAATGAAATAAATGTAAATAAGTGTTACGTGCTTATATGAATTTAAAATTTTTACAAAAATAGAATTTAGTTAGTTTTAATATTCATTTTTGTTTTAATTTAACATAAACAAAATTGAAATTTTGAATAATTTAATTATATAGTCATATGATTTTTTTTTAATCTTTGCTATAGATTATAAATAACAATAGATATTAGGTATAACAATAATAAAACTTGTTAATTAATGTAAAATGTTGTATGCCAGATAGTCAAATATTTTTCTAAAAATATACAGTTTGTCAGTACTTTATTGTATAATTTATATTATAAAAATATATCTTACCATATTCACGTTTAAATTATAAAAAAAAATATATTGAGGTATGTTTTAGGACTTTTATTACAATCTTTCTACTATATTACTACGTAAACTACAGTAAATATACATCTATTCAATTTACGAGTACAATATATAATAAATAAATGGTATTGAAGACTCTAAAAATGTGAACAAA